AATTAGAGATGTAAAGTTAGATAAAAGGAGATAAAACTATGTTTATTTGTTGATGATATATGTGGAAAATCATAGGGAATTTGTAAAAATACTCAGACAATGAATAGTTTCAGCAAAATTTCCATCTACAAAAAACACCCTCAAAAATCAATGGCATTTCTATATAATAATAACAAAATTCAAGAAGCAATAATAGGAAGAAAAACCCCATCTCAAATAACTACAAAATGCATAAAATTTGGGGGAGTAGAGCTATCAAAGCATACTAAAGATTCATATAGAGTCAATTATAAAGAATTCTTTAAAATATAAAGAACTTAAATAGCTAACATAATCAGGGATTATAGCTAGGCCATGTCAATATAATAAAAATGACCACACTACTAGTTAATTTATACTTTTAAAGTTATACAAATCAAGTTGCCAAGGTGATGCTTTATAGAACTGAAGGAAATAAAATTTATTTGGAAAAATGAAAGATCTAGAATATCAAAGGAAATGATGAAAATAGGTAGGAACAAAGGAGAAATAGTACTTCTAGACCTGAAACTATATTATAAAGCAGTAGTCATCAAAATCATCTAGTATTGGTTAAAAAAAAACAAGAGATAGATCAATAGAACAGACTAGTCAAAGGGGAATCAGAAATAATAGCACTCAATAACTGTTCGATAAAATAGAAAACATGTTACCTATGAAAAAATTCCTTATCTGATAAAAACTTTTGGGAAAACTAGAAAGCAGTTTGCACAGATTAGACTCAGATCAATATCTTTCTCTCATATTCCACAAAACATTCTAAGTAGGTACGTAACCTCAATCTTAAAAATCATACTACAAAAAATTAGAAGAGAAGCAGATCATTTGTCATTCAACCTCTGGACAGGAAATGTATTCTTAACCAAACAGGAGAAGTAATTACAAAAGATCATATAAATAACTTTGATTACATGAAACAGAAAAGCTTATTCATAGACAAAATTAATGCACTTAGGTTAAGAATGGAAGTGGCTGAATGGGAAAAAAATCTTTATCAAATTTCTCTGATAAAGAGTTTGGTATCCAAGATAAATAAACAATAAATGTTATTTAAGTCCAAGAAATGCTAGCTGTAGCAATAAGATAAGGAAGAGAAATGTAGGGAATAAGCATAAAGGAAAAATTGCTTTTTGAAGATACGATTTACTTAGAAATCTATAAGGAATCAACTAAAAAATTAATTGAAACAATAATTCAGCCAAGTTGCAGGATATAAAATAAATTCACATAAATCATTAATATTCCTGTATATTACTAACAAAAACCAGCAGGAAGAGTAAGAGAAAGAAATTTTAATATTAGGAAAACTAAAAAACAACCATAATAACAACAAAATAAATGAAAATCATATAATTCGGCCAATAGATGCAAAAGAAACTTTTGAGAAAATATAATACCCATTTCTGTTTAAAATGCTAGATAACATAGGAATAAATAGATGTTTGCTTAAAAAGATAAAACCAAGAGCTATGATTATTTGTAATGGAGATAAACTAGAATCCTTTCCATTAAATTCAATGGTGAAATAAGGATGTCCATTGTCACCACTTCTATTTGATGTAGTACTAGGAGTTTTAGCTATAGCAATACGAAAAGAAAAAGAAATTGAGGGGATAACTATAGGTTAAAAAAAAACAAAACCTAAATGATCACTTTTGTAGATAATATGATGGTATACTTAAAGAATCCTCAAGAGTCAACTAAAAATTAATTGAAACATTAATAACTTCAGCAGAATTGCAGGATATAAAATAAATCTACAGAAATCATCAGCATTTCTATGTAATACCAATAAAAGTTAACAGAAAGAGACAGAAAGAAACCATTTCATTTAAAATTAGTACAGAAGGTATAAAATACTTGGGAGTCTACATTTCAAGATATACACAAGGTATACATATAAATATATACATACATATGTAGATGAATATACATATGTATGTATATATACACACACATATACATACATACAAGCAACTATTTATTGAAACAAAGATAAAGCTAAATAATCAGAAAAAATATTAATTGCTCATGGGTAAGATGTGTCTATGTAATAAAAATGGCAATACCACCTACATTAATTTACTTATTCAATACCATACCAAACTACCAAAAGATTATAGAACTAGAAAAAAAATAACACAAAATTGTATGAAGGTAAGAATCTAAAAAGAAGAGGATAGAGCCAAGATGGCAGAGTAGAGGCAGCAACCCAGTTAAACTCTCTTACCATTCCCCTCTAAACAACTTTAAAATAATGCATTAAATCAGATTCTGGAGCAGCATAGCCAGCAAAAGGTCAAGGTTAAACATACTTCAAATCTGACAGCTTAGGAGCTCAGCAGACAGGTCTGTGATACAGCTGGGAGGAGGGGGGGAGGCTGGCTTGGAGAACATGTGGTGACAACACCAGTAGTGGGAGTGGGAGGCAGCTGAGACAGCAGCAGCAGCAGCTTTGGAAGCTTTCAACCCAGAGATGGTAAGGAGACTGGGCAACATTACAGGGTAACCTAAGCTGACACTGAATGCAGGACTGAGCACTGTATGGCTACTCCATTACCTACACACAGTTCTGGGTCACAGTTCCATGATGGAGCATTTGTTGTTGGTCACATGAGAGAAGGGGACCTGGTCACAGTTCTGGGGCAGAATGGAGTGCTAGTGCTTGTGGCTGCTGGAGACCAGGGACCCTTTCTGGATAAAGGCTAGAGGGCAGAACAGGAGAGCAGTGACCATCCCTCTCCTAGACTAATACCACACTGGAAGAACCCAAAACTTGCAGATTCCCAGAACTAGCTCTGAAAATAGCAATGCAAAAAGCATGAAGCTTGAATCAATGTCTCTCCACCTCCAGGTGAGCAGAGTCCAGCCTTAACATAAATAAAGTCAAGAAATACGCTGGGAAAATGAGCAAACAACAGCGACAAAAAAGAACCTCACAATAAAAAGCTACTATGGTGGCAGGGAAGATCAGAACACAAACTCAGAGGAAGACAATGTGAAAGTGTCTATAAGCAATGCCTCAAAGAAAAACACAAATCGGACACAAACCCAACAAGAATTCATGGAAGAGCTAAAGAAACAGATAATAATGGTAGAGAAAAGACTGGGAAGAGAAATGAGAATGCTAGAGAATTATGAAAAAAGAATTAATAGCTTGATAAATGAGGCATAAGAAATACTGAAGAAAATAACATTTAAAAAATTGGTCAAATGGGTAAAAGAGGCACAAAAATTCACTAAGAAAAGATCTTAAAAAAATTAGAATTGACCAAATGGAAAAACAGGTACAAAAGCTCAATGAAGAAAATAATACCTTAAAAGTTAGAATTGGACAAGTGGAAGCTAGTGACTCCATGAGACATCAAGAAATAATAAAACAAAGTCAAAAGAATGAAAAAAATAGAAGAAAATGTGAAATATCTCATCAGAAAAACAACTGACCTAGAAAATAGATCAAGGAAACATAATTTAAGAATTATTGGACTTCAAGAAAGCCATGATCAAAAAAGATCCTTGGCATCATATTTTACGAAATTATAAAGGAAACCTGCCCTGATATCTGAGATCCAGGGGGTAAAATAGAAATTAAAATCTGCAAATACCTCCTGAAATAGATCCCAAAATGAAAACTTGCAGGAATATTATAACTGAATTTCAGAGCTCTGAGATCAAGGAGAAAATACTGCAAGCAGCCAGAAAGAAACAATTTAAACATCATGGAGCCACAGTCAGGATCACACAAGATTTAATAACTTCCACATTAAAGGAGCAGAGGGCTTGGAATGTGATATTCTGGAAGGTAAAGCAGCTAGGATTACAACCAAGAATCACTTACCCAGAAAAACTGAGTATAATCTTTCAGGGGGGAAATGGATAATTAGTGAAAGAGAGGGCTTTCAAGCATTCCTGATGAAAAGACCAGAGCTGAATAGAAAATCTGATATTCAAATATAAGACTCCAGAGAAACATAAAAAGGGAAACATGAAAGGGAAATCATAAAGGACTTAACAAGGTCAAACTGTTTACATTCCTATACGGGATGATAATAATACCTGTTCTCTTGGTAGCAAAGACCCAGCATGGAGGTTGTTTGTTCTGTGGTCCCCAAAACCTATGACAGGGGAGCTGTCTTTTTGCTGAGGCTTTGGATAAATGGAGGCAAGCCACTGACCTAAATAGACAGGCAGCATGCCCCTGTTAATAAATATTATCTTGCTGGGGAGAATTGCCTCAGTTTACCTTCTTGATAACTTTCACCAAAAGTCAGGGCAAAGATACTGGAGTGGTTTGCCATTTCCTTCTCTAGCTTATTTTACAGATGAGAAAACTGAGGCAGGAGAGATTCTTTTAACTTTCATGAATGCTTGCCTTTTTAAAAGTATTTATTTTATTTAATATAATTGGATTGTATGGCACTAGCACACTGCCTCCCCTCTTTCCCCTTCATATTTCCCTGATCTGTACAACTTCTTCAGATGACTGACTTCTGGTGGTTGGGGGAGGGGAATGAGGCATGACGCCCATTGGAGGTCTGCCCCGCCAACGCACCACCTGCGCCCTAGGCTCATGCTACCTCCCCTTTCTACAAGCCACAACCGTACCTCCAGACATTTCTGCAATGGCCTCGCAAGGGGAAGGAGAGCCACAAGAAGGCGGTGCCAGGATTTCCCACCTCTGTGTGTGTGTGTGGGGGGGAGTGAATTTGCGGAGCCAGACCCACACTTCCTCTTCTGTGCTGGAGCCACGTGCAAGCGCCAACGCAGCTGTAGCTCCTCATGAGACCCCTAGGGGGCGCCGCATCGGGAGCGCTCTTTCCGTGCCTCTCTGGGGGCTTTCTTGGACTCTCGATGTCCTTCGCCCTCGTCTGAGGGCCAGACTCTTCCTGGGCGGAGGCTCCGAGGCCTCTCACGGCTGACTTGGGGGGAATGGGGGGAGGTGGGGGTGGGGAGGGAGGGCCGGGGTGCTGATGTCTGTCCTGGGGCCTTCGAGCCCCTTTCCGGGGTTCACTCTCTTGTCAGAAGGATGTCTGAGAGGCGAGAGGCAGAGGGACTGAAGCTGCCGGTGAGAGGCTGGAGCGGGCGGGAGAGGGCCAGGCCGACCTGGGGACAGATGGGGGAGGGGCAGGACGGAGAGGGCCCGGCATGGGGCGGGGGGCCGGGAGTGGGGGGTGGGAAGGGTAGGGTGACCGGCGGCGGGGACGGGAGGCGCGCTTAGGGGAGCCAGGCCTACCCAAGGCTGACCTGAATTGGGGATCGGTGGGGTGATTATTAAGTGTAATTAAGTGTAATAATGAGATCTGGTTTTTTGAGGAAGGGGGAAGATCTTATTTCTGCATATCATCTGGTAGCGTTCATTCCAGTCTCACTGGCATTTACGTATCTGTTGTGTCCAGGCCTGTGCTAGATTCATGAATACAAACTTTTGCAAAAGGTCTTTGTGCTCCAGAAGTTTACATTCTGCTGTCAGGCTACCACATGTGAACAGAGCGCTAGTCATCAGGAAAGGCTTCCTTGTAGAAGACATCTGAACAGAGTCTGGAAAGAAGCTAGACAATCTAAGAAGAGGAGGGAATGCCTCAGGCGTTGGAATAACCTATGCAGAGGATGGAGATGAAATATCCAATTAGGGGAAAGCAAATGGGATAATTTGGCTGGAATATAGTGTATGGAAGGGAATAATATGAGATAATCCTGGAAAAGGTAGGCAAGAAATACATAAGAAGCAATTTAAATCTTAAGGTAAGGAGTTCGTCTTTTATCCAGGAGGCAATAGGAAACTGCCCATGGATCCTGAACAGAAAAGTGATGGAGTCATACTTGGCTTTAGGAAGCTTAGTTTTTTCAGCTTTTTGAAAGATCAGTTGGAGAGAGTAGAGATTGAAAGCCAGGAGTCTAATTAGAAGACTGTTACAAAGGGTGAGGCCAGTGGTTCTCAAACTTTTGGTCTCAGGACCCCTTCAATTTCCTAAAAATTGTCAAGGACCTCAAGGAGCTTTTGAATATTTTGATTATATTTATCAGTATTTACTGTATCATAAATGAAAATTGATAAATTTTAAAAAATATTTTGGACTCTTAAAAATAATGATAAACATGTTACATGTTAAGTAACATTTTAGTGAAAAATGACTTTTTCAAAACAGAAAAATTGATGAAAAAGTGGCATTATTTTACATTTTTGCAACTCTATGATATCTTAATTGAAGACAATTGGAGTGTCTTTTGCATTTAGTCTTTTGTAATATGTTGCTTTATCTGAAGTATATGAAAAAAATTTTGCCATATACCATACGTAGTTGCAAAAGGAAGATGGATTTGAATAGCATTTTCAGACGATTGTGGATATTCTTCTTTGATCCTATACCAAAACTTGACAAGCAATAGTTTCTTAAAGGTTACTTTCAATGTAGAATCTGGAATCACATTAATAAACTGTTACATTAAAATCCACTGGTTTATCTTGCATTTAAAAAATTATTACTTTTATTTTCAGTTCTAAATACTCTCCCACCACTCCTCCCTCACCTATTGAGAAGGCAAGAAATATGATACTCATATACATAGAAGTCATGCAAAACATTTCCACGTTAGCCATGTTGCGGGAGGGAAAAAACAAACAAGAAAAATAAAGAGGAGAAATATGTTTAAATCTGTACTGAGGAGTCCATCAGTTCTCTTTCTGTAAGTGGATAGCATTTTTTCTTCATGAGTCCTGAAATTGTCATGGATTATTTCATCAATCAGAGTTGCTAAGTCTTTGACAGTTCATTATCTTTATAATATTGCTGTTACCTTGTGCATTGTTCTCTAGGTTCTGTTCATTTTATTTTGCATTAGAGATAGCTCTTCCAAGGTTTTTCTGAAACCATCCCCTTCATTATGTCTTATAACATACAAGTATTCTGTCTCATTCATATAACTGAACTTGTTCATCCATCCTGCTATTGAGAAGCATCCTCTCAATTTCCAATTCTTTTTGCCACCATAAAAAGAGCTGCTATAAATATTTTTGTACATGCCAGTTTTTTGTCTTTTTCTTTGATCTCTTTGGGGTATAGACCTACTAGTTAGATTGCTGGGTCAAAGGGTATGCACAACTTTATAGCCCAAATTTATAGCCCAGAATGGTTGGACCAATTTACAACTCCATTAACATATACCCATTTCACCTCATCCTCTCCATCATTTGTCATTTTTTTTTAAATTTTAGCCAATTGAATAGGCATGAGGTAATACTTCAAAGTTATTTTAGTTTACGTTTCTCTACTTATTAGTGATTTAGAGCACTTTAAAGACTGTTGATAGCTTTGATTTCTTCCTCTGAAAACTGCCTGTTTTTATCTTTTGACCATTTATCAACTGGGGAATGTTTCTTATATAAATTTGGCTCATGTATATTTGAGAAATGAAACTTTTATTACAGAAAATTTCTGTGAATCTGTTCCCCCAGTTTACTACTTTCCTTTTAGTTTTGGCTGCATTGGTTTTGTTTGTACAAAACTTTTAAAATTTATGTAATTGAAATAATCCATTTTACTTCCCATAATCCTCTTTATCTCTTACTTGATCACAAAGTCTTCTACCCATAGGTCAGACAGGCAATTTTTTTCCATGCTCTCTAATTTGCTTATGATATCACCCTATACGTCTAAAATCACATGCCCATTTTGAGCTTATCTTGTTATGAAGTGTGAAATGTTGTATGCCTCATTTCTGTCAGACTTTCCAGTTTTCCCAGCAGCATTTGTCAAGTAGTGAGTTCTTGCCAAATTGCTGCAATCTTTGGATTTATCAAACATTAGTTTACAGTACTCAGTTTCTTCTGTATATTTGATACCTAATCTATTCCATTGATTGACCACTATTTCTTATTCAGTACCTGTTGTTTTAACAATTACTTCTTTGTAATATAGTTTGGGTTCTGGTACTGCTAAAGACCTCCTTCACATTTTTTTATTGATTCCCTTGATATTCTTGACCTTGTGTTTTTCCAGATGAATTTTGTTACTATTTTATCTAGCCATATAAAGTAATTCTTTGTTAATTTGATTGGTATGGCACTGAACAAGTAGGTAGTATCATCATTTTTAATATATTGGCTTAGCCTACCCGTGAGTAATTCATATTTATTCAGTTATTTAGAGCTGTCTTTATTTGTGTGAAGAGTGTTTTGTAATTGTGTTCATATTGTCCATAAAGTGTGTATCTTGGCAGGTTCTATCTTGTTCGTTGAATGGGTCTTTTACCCATGAGTGATTTTGTAACTTCATACATTGGTCATTTGGAAATAATGGTTCACAGAGTTAAGCCTATCTTCCAGACATTGACACATTTTATTAAACAATATCAAAAAATCACATTTATTAATATCACCAGAAGGATTTTCAAGTATTGAGAAGCTGTCAAGCTCATGGTAGTAGATACAAATTTTCCAGAATTTTAGTTTTTGTTTGAAAGTTTGAAATTTTATTATTGGCAACAGATAGTTGTTTTCCTTGAAATGACAGGCTCACCAGAACCAGGACAACATTGTACACAGTAACAGCTAAGACTTAGCTCTTCTCAAAAATGCTATCCACATCCAGAGAAAGAACTATGGAGTCTGAGAATGCAAATGGAAGCATACTGTTTGCTCTCCTTTTCTTTTCTTTTATTTCTTCTTTCTCATGATTCCTCCCATTGCTTCTAATTCTTCTATACTACTGTGACTAATCATTACTAATATGAAAATATGCTTAATATGAATATATAAGGAGAGCCTATATCAGATTACATGTCCTCTTGGGGAGGGGAGAAAATTTAAAATTCAAAATCTTATGGAAGTATATGTTGAAAACTAAAAATAAATAAATTATTTTTTAAAAAAATGAAATGATAGGCTCACTTCATTCATTTTCCAAAAAATATCTGCCAAATACCCAAGTCTGAATAACTGTAGTTGTTCTTTCAAGTAAAAATTATGTTCTCTGAAAAAAGCCAAGTTAGCTCACAATTCAATCTGTCATGCAAGTGCTTTTCTTAGAAATGACCATTGTATTTCATTATGTAGTGGAAGTATTTTATGGGAACCTTCCATTTTGTAACACAAAATATTAAAAATATATGAAATCAAGGGTCGAGATTTAATAAAATTAATAATTTTTTTCTTCATCAAAGACATTACTTGGGAAAATGGCATTTTTAAAAAAGCTCTATGTATGGCAATGAAGAATACAAAGATGACTGGTACAGTTTGGTTCCACTCCCTTGATTTGGGATAAGGCTCCAGCATTGTTTTTACATTGTCTTTGCAAATGTTAACACTGTTATTTGTCAGGAAGCACTTCAGAATGGAGTAGCTATGTGGTGCAGTGGATAGAGCACCAGGCCTAGAGTCAGGACGACCAGACTTCAAATCTAGCCTCAAATGCTAGTTATATGACCTTGGGCAAGTCACTTAACTCTGTTTTAGTTTCCTCATCTGTAAAACGATCTGGAGAAGGAAATGATAAACTATTCCAGTATCTTACCTAAGACAACCCCCAAATGGGATCATAAAGAGTTAGATGCAACTGAAACTACTGAAAAACAACAACAATTCTAGAATATGGCAGTTTGTTGGAGGAATGAATAGGTTAGGGAGAAAGATAAGTTCCATTTTGCACTTAGTTTCTAATGCCTTCACACTATCCATTTGGAGAAGTCTGCTAGGTGATGTGAGAGTAGAGTTCAGGAAAAGGATTAGGGCTATATTTATAGATCTAGGAGTAAACTTTAAAGAAATAACTGATCTCATGGGAGCTGAAGAGATGAATAAGAAGAATTTATAGTTTTGGGGAAAATCTGTGATTAATGGTCAAGACTTAGAAGGTGATCCAGCCAAGGAAAAAAGGAAGAATGCAGTGCTGAAAAAGGTGAGGAAGGACAGATATTTTTGAGGAGAATGTAGTCAATTATTAAAAGATTCAAAGAGGTCAAGAAGTACCAGTATTGAAAAGAGTCTGTCAGACTTTGCAATTAAGATATTCTTAATCTTGGAGAAAGCAGTTATATTAGAGTTATTGGGCCCAGTGCTAGATTTCA